TCTCATCTCTATTTCAAAGAGAGCCTGGTATGTATTTTCTTTTTTGTTGTACTAAAGCTTATGGATAGCAATATCATACTTTTTGACATACAGGTTAAGTTCAAATAACTGAGTTATTATTTTCCTATTTGATAATTATCACTAAAAATTATATGCATTCCAATTAAATTTTTGTTACAGGTTCAGAAAGTCTATGGACAAATGCACACATAGTAAATGCTTAATATGCTAACACTGCTATGCTCTAAAATGTTCTCTATTCAGCAAATACTGAGTAATCAACTCCTATTTTGTTAAATTGTGTAAAACTTTAAAGAATTAAGTTACCCTTCTTCTTAGAAAATACCACTACATGTGAAGCTTGTTTCTCAAACCTGCACATTAGGACTTCAAAAATTTATAGCAATCCTTCCCTAACTTCCCTACACCTAATCTTTGCATTCAAGGTAAATTCCTCCCATTGCCAAATCAGAGTTTAAAAAAAAAGTCAGTCTGTCCTTTCTGCTTATATGTTACATTGGGAGATCGTGACATAATAGTTACGATTTATGTCCCAGATTAAAACTAGAAATTACATTAAGTTCTCTGTTTTCTATCTGTCCTACATATTGACAAATTTTTGAAGTTGCTTTTATTACATAACTTGTCTATTTAAGAATGAAGAAAGAATCCCAGCTTTAAAGCTGTCTAGTTACTCAGATCACCCATATATCTCATCTAGCCCTATCTCCTTGTCTTTGCTAATTGTATTCCTTTCCTGCTGTCCACACCCTCACAACACAGAGACAAGGAATGCTCTGCCTCCAGCCTCTAGCTTACTGATAGGAATCCCATCTGCCCCGAAGGCTGTGAAGTTCTGAGCAGCCAAGCCCTTTTACCTTCTAAGAAATATGGTCCATCTGGTCACAGGCACAAAACATAGCACTGAATTGGTTTTAATACAAAACAAAACTGCATGTGAAGCTTTTCTTGAAGGTTTCTCAAACCGTCAAAATAAACTTCCCAAAGCATACAGCCTGTTTATACAGTTTCATTTCCCTCAAGATGACTAAAGCAGCAAAATGCTTGTGATATTAAAAAAATAATATTTGTTATGATAAAATATAACATAAAGTTTATATCTTAGCCATTTTTAAGTGTATAGATCAGTGGCATTAAATACATTCACTTATACAGAAAATTGCCAGTTAGCTCTGTTGATAAAAATTTAGGTTGAATGCAGAAAGCTCTAAAAAGGTGCATCTCACTGTATGTTAAAACAAAATAAGAAATGAATAGTAGGTGACGGGATGGGTGACAATTGGGACCCAGACCAGTGAGGGCAGGGCATAAAGGTAGAGATGGGATTTTATCGTAAGTCATAGAGAACACCTGAAGAGTATGAGCGTATAGTGGCATTCATCACTCACTCACAGCCAACATTTTTGAGCATCTATGTTCTAGACACTGTGTCAGTCACTAGAATTGGTCAAATTGGTTAAAAAACTCATCGTAGCTGCAATATTAGTGGTTGAGAGTAAAAAGTTAGTAAAAAGTTCTAAATTAGGCAGTAGCAGAGGGGGTAGAGAGCAAAGGTTGAATGTATTTTTAGTGTTATCACCATGAAATCACTGATGCTATCATTTCATTTCTCTTTTCTAATCTCTTGAGCTAATGGCTACTTTAGTTTCAATAAATTTCATGTGACACACCTCACAAACAATAAGATGTGTCAGCAACAAAGAAACTGTGGTACAGCTAATGATACGTAAATGGAGCATGCATTAATTTCAAGGCAATATGGTTTAAATGGTCTAATTAGATTAATGCCATTTTGGTGGAATATTTATGGCCTATTTATGAGTAGAGAGAAAGCTGTTATTCCGCAAGGCTTTTTGTAGATGAAACTGTAGGTAATTGGAAGTTTTATCAATGCAGCAGTAGCTTAAGAAACCATACTGTGAAATACCAAGCCCTGGATCTATACATATTAACAGAGAATGATCTCCAAAATACTGTTAAATATAACATGAATTGCAGAGTGTATTACATGGGGTTGGAGATGTGGAAGGAGATGTGGGGGGATGACAGTGGAGGGAGCTTTCAGTTTGTGTTCCCTGTTGTAATGAGAATATAGCCAGGTAGTCCTTCTACAAAAAAACCCAGTTTTATAGGTTACTACACCACGTGAATAGATTGTATTACCTTATAAGTTTATAGTTCTTCCAAACAAGTCTTAACAGCAATTCAAATTATACAATGATCCTCATAATACTAGCTATGGATGATACAAGGGTATGTACATGTATCTTTTTTTAAAAAATTGTCAGATTGCTTTCAGACTATATTTTTTGAATGACAGGTATATTAGAGGAAATTTGAGATGAATTCTAACTATTGTAAAATGTTTCTCTTTGAACTACTGTAAAACCATTTAAGAGAAATATGCAATGTATTTAAATTTATTCTCACTCAGTATTTAATGATAAGGTAACTCTTAGAACACAAAACTATTCTTTGCCAATGAACAAAACAAATTACAACAATCTTTGATCTTTCAATTTAAGATACACTAAGATAGCCTGCAAGTGGTACTTTCCTACTTTCAAAGCAATATCTGAAGTGCATGTTGATGCCACGGAAGTTATTTGGCAACAGTAGACACTGTCTGAGTAAACATTCTCACCATCTGAATTCAGACAGGCTTTTCTTTTGTTGGTTTTAAATTAAAGTCTCCTAGAAATACTAAATAGGAAATTGGGAACAGGGTGATGGAGACATTTTATCTTTATTTTTAATTTTTATTCTTTATTTATAATATGTAAAGAGCATTTTTAAAAACTGTTCACAGAAGATCATTTAACAACTCTTACTCAGCCATCATTGAAAAACTTAAGAAACTCACATACAATTTTCGGGGCTACATTCCAAATTTTTCAGACAGACTAAAATTGTGCCTCAGCCCACTTGAAGTTTGAAAAAAAAAAATGACAAGATAGTAGGTGTAAATGACTAAGAAGGGCCCAGAGGGATGCTCTGGAAAGCAAAAGGGTTGGGAGCTTCATGTAGAATGTCTTGATAAGAAGTCTAGACTATCTATAATTTGCTGATTGTGAGGAAAACCAGATTATTAAGAAACCTTGTGAAGTCAACAGCTACAGGAATTTAAAATGCATGTGAAACTTGTGATGACACATGGGAAAAGGGACTGCAATACCATTTTACTTTAGTCCACACACCAATTATCTATGACCCCAAGTGACATTTAGGAGTGACTCGTATCAAAGATGCAAAGAATGCTATAGGAAGAAGACAAACATCTTTAAGTGCCAAAGGGAATTGTAAATGAGGGCAGGAAGAAGATAGAAACTACAAGGACTGTTACACATAACATCCCAAAGTTCTTCCTTAAGAGTGGACTTAGTTAATATTACAGTACAAGACAAGCCATTAGAGCATGGAAAGCAATTTAAATCAACAGTGTTTAACTTTAAATACTGAATAAAACAGCAACACATCTCTAAATCTCTCGCGATCCTGTTGCATATTTTCTTCCTACAGATATAATACATATCTGTTTAATTCCTCACATAGGATATGTCACACAAAGGACTCCTTTTAAATTAGGAAGAACTCAGCCCTCAGGACTTTAGTCAGATCTCTTTTGATTGCTTATAACATTCTTCAAGAATCAGGTTTCCCTAAGTCCACAAGGGGCTTTGCATGAGCTGGAAGAGGTTTGTTGTCTGCGTATGTGGCATAGCCTAGTGCACAGCCTGGATGGTAGGCTGTATTTTGTGCCAATCAGAAAAGTGAATTTTTTTTCAAGTGGGTTCCACACACTGGAGGGTTGGAGAGACAGGAGCTACATTTCTGTCCCATTTACTCCTTGGCAGTAATTGGGACTTGTGCAGTGCACAGCTCTAGAAAGTTAGCAGTTTAGTTACATGGCAAGTGACACCCACCTATGTGTTTAACCTGAATGGTTCAATAAGAAAGAAAGAGTAGATGATTTGATAAACAGTCACAATAATATTTAGCACAACACTTATTAAATTATCTGAGCTGAGTATTCTAAGGGATCACATCAAAAATCACACCAAAAAACCTGATTCATATCCTGGTTATTATTTTTGCCAAGAATTAAGAAGACACAAAATAATCCACAATAGGAGATATTAATGTCAGACACAATTAACATTGCTTTTCTATTTCTTCATATAGTTACTGCCTAGTTCCTCTTTCCTGAACACATTTAGAAATCTGTTCATCTTGATGACCTTCATCTCAGAGATGTTCTTAAAAAGGAGTGAAGAGATAGCTGATATTTCTGCTGAGATCAAACATCAAGTTTGACCCCCTTTTTGGTGGGTCTACATCCCCACCGCCAGTCCCTCAAGAAGCACATTTCTTTTGTATAATTGAATCAGCATCTTGAAAAAGGTTTGTCAACTGAATATGAACTCCTTGAGATATTTTTAATAACCTTATTGTACTCTCTACTCACTCCCACTTCCCCTGTTAAGCAGTAGAGTCTCAATATTCCTAAAGCAATGAATGAAGACTTAGGGACCTTGCAGATCTCATGAGAGACACAGTCAGAAATCAAGGTTTGTTCACTTTAGAAAAGAAAAAGTTGACTGGGTTGCCTACAAAGGTCTCAGTGACCATCAAGAGAGGTGTGCATAGCTTCTTCCCACACTGTCCACCCGAGCCAGAGGGTGTGAGCAACAGCCACCTTCTACTCAGCCAAGAACACCGAGCAAGAGTGAGGCCAGGAGAAACCCAGGAACAGGAACCACGAAGGCTTTACCCATCCATGGGGCAAGCAGGGATAAGAGGAGGCAGCACAGAAAAGAAAGGCACAGGCTCCTGCCTTTGGAGACTCACCACAAGGGACACCTGGAAGGTGGCCCAGTTTCTAAGAGGTATGTGTGTCCCGGTGTCATGGTGGTGCATTTTCTTTAATTTTAATCCTTCCAAGGTCTTTCTCTGCAAGGACAGAAGTAAATCTATCTTACCTCAATAATGTAGAGGACCACGTTCTTGTAGAAACAATACAAGATGCACTTGGTCACCCGATTGTAGCTCCAGGCACCATGAACCAACAGTAGTTTCTCCAAGTATGAAAACTGAGAAAGGAAAGGAGCAGAGTTAAGAAAAGTCCATCATCTAGGGAGAAGTCACAAAACATCCTTCTGAGAAGACAGAAAAGTCCCAGAGGAAAACAGATTCTGCAGGTAACCTAAGAAAACCATTCACTAATAGCAGTAAAGTCTCAATATTCCAAAAGAGTCAGTAAGAACAACTAAAATCTCTGAAATCTACATTATCTATATGCTGGAGTTTGTTATTCCCAGAAAGTCCTATTTGTGCACATGTCTTTTTAGGGTCTTAATTATTAAAGTAGCTGACTTTGTGGACTGGCAGAAAAGGACACTGGAAATCAGACACTTCTGTCCATCACAGGCTTTATGGTGACAACAGGAGCAAAGACAAGGACATTCATATAGCAGTAGTTGCTCAAAAGAAGGAACATACAATAATATATGACTAATTTCCATGGTCTGCCTGCAGGTTAAAAACAATTTGCACAGAGACCTACACATAGGCACACACATAAAGACACACAAATACTCACAGACACACAAACACACACAGGCACACAGAGACACAGACACACGGAGACAAAAATAAACACAGACAAGCACATATACACACACACTGACACACACAGATTAAAAACACAGGCACATATACAGACATACACAGAGATATACATACAGATACAAACACACAAATGCACACAGAGATGTACTAGACACATACTCTGCCTCCACTTCTATAGCATTTTGTTCTCCTTTTTTGCCTCCAACTAGTACAGAACACTTCTTGCCAGAGCATTATGCAGTCAGGAGAAACAAAAACCAATGCGAAACTAACTGATCCTAAGCTGAGAATGATGTAGTGACTCACACAGTCTGAAATAATCAGCAACACTCCAGCAAAACATATGAACCATCTTTGGAACAGGGGAACACTAGATAGCACTCAAGTCATATCTCCTCAGTCTCCCTGGCCTTGCCTTGTGTACTATTTCAGGAAGATTCCAAAAAGTGTGAACATTGAGCTGGAAATAGGGAAATGAGTAGGTTTTGTAGACTGTGTTATAACCTAGTATGAATGTACTATTAGAGACAATCCTATTTCAATTCATGGTATCCATATATTCAATTATCCTCACACTGGGTTGTATTTCCCTTTGTTGTCCTGAACTAAAGTCTTAATTCCTTGTTCTTAGTCACAAATTATTAATTTAATATAAATTATTATTGTGCACCCTAATAATGGGGCCACAGGGCAGGCCCCATTATTCTCCTAAGAGTGAGAAAAAGGCTGTATTGAGTCTACAAACATTAGAAATTCATTTGCTGAAACAGCAAATGAATTCAATAGCTATTTGCTATGCCTACTTACTGCAGATCACTTTTGAAATTAAATTTAACTACCTGCAGATATGACTTTGAAAATAAAATATTTGTTTTAAAATCTTCTTTTCAAGAAGCCATGTAATAATTTCCACCAGCATTAAAGAAGAAGAGTCACTATGACTCACATTTCAATGAGTTCTTCCAGAAGATCAGGGTAAGGCAGGTTATTCACCTACGTATTCCAATAGGCAAATGATGACTTCAAAATGGCAGGCGGAGGTGCATATGGAAAAATAAAACTCCCCATAAAGGCTCATTAAGGATTCCAAAGGGGAGTGGGGAATCATAAAATAACTAGCTAAACAAAAAAAAAAGGAAGTCTGTATTTGACCTGGACCCCCGATGCTTAACTTCAATGGGCACAGAGGACATCTGCTGGAGTAATCCAGAGAGTCTCAACTTTAGTGCTACAATGATTTGTTTTCAGGAGGGAAAAAAGGATCCTAAATCAAATGCCGTTTTCATGAGGTCATTCAAAAAACATTAAGAAGGTAGGGGGCAGGGATGATTCTTTCCTAGGAGAACAGGCAGCTGGGGAGGTGCAGCATCACACAGGTTTATGCACGGGCTGCCCAGGGGCTGGCTGTGAGCCCCAGTGGCTGCCCCTGAAGATTAAAGCAAGACTGGCAGAAAGATATGGAACCACAGCTTTGCCTACGTCACCATTTTGCCCAGAGTAAGTCTTTGAGCTAAGTTTTTATTTCTGTACATAACCCTACAGAACATTTTCTGAAAAACCCAATCAAAATTCTATTCATGTACATTAAAATGAAGAGATAAAACACAAAGTATTGACCACAACCAACAACATGATTTCATTAGGTACAAAGGAATGCATGTAATGAGGCATTTTCCAGTTAGTAATTAAGGCAGAGGAATCATGCTGTTGGGTGGAGAGGGTAAGGAGAAGGAAACACTACCCTAAAATAATGGGATCTTTGCCTAATCCTGAACAGGATCATCGACAGGAGAAACAAAGACCCACAGATACATGAAGCCATTCCATCAGTTCCTTTGGCCAATGTAACTATTACACTGGAAGGGCAAGAAAACTCCTAAATCAAGTTATAAAACTTCACTCTCCTCTCCAACTTCTTTGATGCTTTTAGTTTGAAGAGAGCAGTTTCTCCAGATTCCACATCTTATTAGTATGCAGTTTTAATACAGCAGGTCATAGAATCTCCTTCCCTAGACATTTTAAAGAAAAAGACAGACAAATATTTGCCTGGAACTCCTAGGAAACCTCCAAAGATTCCTTCCAGCCTTATGATGCTATAACTCAAGTATTTAATAATGCTGGGATGTATAACATTTACAGTTGCTGACAGACTGCAGGAAGCCTGAGTCCCATGAGCCTTGGAGTAGTTGACTTGGGAAAGGAAAGTGGCAGGTGCGCAGGGATGGTCCCCATGGTCTGGTGTTCTCAGAACGCGCACACACATACCCAAGGCAGGTCACCTAATGGGAAGAAGTTCCAGTTTTCTCACCTGTAAAATCAGAATTTCTTCTATCTACTTTCAGCAATTATCTTGAGGCTTTACTTGAAATCAACAAAGGAACAAGATTGATTTCATTAACTTTTCAGAGCCATGAGGATTTTGTAAATCCTGTCTGTGTTTGCAGAGCCACAAGCTGGGAGGGAATTTGAGAGGTGATCTAATGCAGAGCCCTCCTTTGGGGAGGTGGAGCCCTGAAGCTGCACAAGACCAGCCTGCAGCCCTGAGGATGTTGGAAGTTCTTTCACATTTTATATGCTGTACCTGATTTCAGTTTAAATGGAGTAAAAGCCATCATTACTTCTGTTTATATGATTAAGGTTAACACATTCTTTAAAAGACTAAACACTGGAAAAACACAAGGGATTTTAGCTAACCAACAACTGAACAGGCATTTAATTACAACCTACTGCAATTTGGAGACAAGAGGAAACAATCATTGTTGGGTGTGATGTCTATATTTCCTGGAAGATCTGGCAGGCCCAATGATCTAGAAAGTATCTAAAGAGTCAAGAGGTTGGCTATTTTCCTTCATTTTTTGACTGTCATTAGGAGCAGATATTCCTTTCATCATGAGGCCATCTGTATGGTAACTACAAAGTGTATCAGGACTCTCTCTCTATGCAGGGTTCAGTCCAGAGAAGAATGGGCTGAACCTGGTCTAACTGCAGAAGGCTTTGGGTACTGACCATGGGGTAACTATGGCCTAAAACTGCTTAATGTGTTCAGTAATTCATCTCACAGCAGTGGCCTAGGCAGAATCCTGGTCACAGCTACAGAGAGGCTGGCACCTGTAAATCACTGCTTTCCTCAACCTACCTGAAATGCTTGATGAGACAGTATTTCTAGTACCTTCGGAAAGAGGTGAGATGCCAGGATGGGAATAGCAGAGATTGGATGTTATGAGCACAGCGGTTTTTTTGGCACAAGATGGCATAAAGAAAAGCAGATATGGAGTTAAGAATAAGAGATTATTACTAGAAGGATCAGGGACCTATCTGTCAGGAATGAAGCCTTACTTGGATGACAGAAAGGTCAGCCAACCCCACAGCTGGCCAAAAACGAAACAAAACCCACGCTGCAGAAGAAGACTACAGAGAAATCTAAATATACCAATGCCTTCATTTAGATGCAATATCAAAACGGGTGGCAGAGTTCTTAGGGTGGAAATGACAGTCAAGCACCAGCCAAATTTTCACATCCAGCTGACATCTCTAGCAACAGGATGGGACAGCTGGCCAATCAGGCCTCTGACCTGTGCAATGGCATAATCCGAGTTGTTAGTTGCCTGCATGCCTTCATTCCCACTGATTCCCACACCCACATGGGCTGTCTGGATCATTCCAACATCATTGGCACCATCCCCGATGGCAAGGGTGATGGCCTTTACTCGCTTCTTAACCACATCCACTATCTCAGACTTCTGTAGAGGAGACACTCTGTAAGAGAAAAAAGAGAAATTATGATTATTCACAAAACAGCTGCAATCTACATTTAGCTGCATTAGAGAGGCAGATATTGGATAATTTCCAAATTCAATACATACATTTTATGCTTATGTGCAAAGATTTCAGAATACAGTAGCTTGTGGCTTTTAAGTTTTTGCCAACTTCAGATGAAAAACACAACTCAAAACTAACTTAAAACACACCCTATTTGTTTTTTTTTTTTTTTAATTTTTATTGAAGTCCCACTGTTTTACATTCTATTTGTAATCACTGCTCAGTGGGAGCCTAACATATGAATGCTTAGGGACATCCTGTGTCCTCCTGAATGATAAAGGCAGTTAAGCTAGTTACAAAGGTCTTAGGAAATCGCAATCACTCCCCAATAAATCAGAAAACTAGCCCAAACCCCATTTTGTTTTGATGTACATCATACACAAGGGACTTTTCTATGAAGCCTGCTTTCACAGAAGGTTAAGAAAATTGGCAGGACTTGAGAAATACAGAAAGAGGACTAGAATGAGAGGAAAGAAAAAGACTTTTCCACCTCCACCCATAGTTTGAGACAGTGTTTGAAGGGCAGCCAAGGCAGAAGGATTTCAGAAGAGGCTTCACAGGGGTAGAAGGTCAACTAAAGCAGAACTGTAATGAGCATAAAAGGAAAAGTCAGCCTTCGCCTAAGAGGGTTTGTTTCCACAGTGATCAAAAAAGTTGCACTGTTTTTTATAAGGCCTCAAGTTGTCTGGAAAGAAGAGTCAATAAAAATCTATGTAGGCTAAGTCACAGAAATATTAATTATAATATGCTTGTTCAGATCATAAGACCAGAGAATACAACAACATGATAACTCATACCTCAGGATTGATTTATTTAATTTCTGAATTGGTAAAGTGATATTTGGTATGGGAAATTGACATGTAAACTTTGAATCAATTACACACACATATACACAAATAGAGCAAAGGAACTCTCTGGGTTTCCCAGAGGTTTGTTGGCAGCATCCACATACAGTTGTACACTAGAATGGAAACTCAAAGTCTTTCCAGTACCCAAAACCTCTCTTATGGCCTCCAACCCATAAAACACCTGTTTCTAACAACTAACAGATAATTTTAATTTTACCAGTTCTGGAAAGAAATGTGTTCGGTTAGACAAGCAAACTGAATGCACACATACTCTGAAAGATTCTTTATTCAGTTACAAAGAAATAAAAATTAGCAAATGAGAAAAACACAATTTAAGGAATGAAAAGATTTCTTTTTAAAAATCATTTTCACAGGGATTTTCAATGATGGGAATTTACTGCCTTCTGGGGCAGTTGCTAACGTTAAAAAAATACTACTTTTTGTTGTTCATAAGCATACTAAAAGTACTAATTCTGTTCTCTATGCTAGCCTAGAATGAGTATAACTCTTCTTTCAAAAATTAGGAAGGCTGAAATATAAAGACAAATACCATAACCTTCCTCCAAAAGCTCAGTTTCTACAGGCTAAACAGTCTCAAATCCTTCAACCAATTTTAATAGGCATGTTTTAGAACTTAAAAATAGCTTTCATAGAGCTGTGTGGAGATTTCTGGACCTACTAAACATAGAGCTTCCATATGATCCAGCAATTCCACTCCTAGGTATTTACCCAAAGGACACAGAAACATCAATTCCAAAGAGCACCTGCACCCCTATGTTTATAGCAGCACTGTTTACAATAGCTAAGCTTTGGAAACAACCCAAATGCCCAAAAGTAGATGACTGGATCAAGAAGATGTGGTACATATATACCATGGAATATTACTCAGCATTCAAAAAAGATAAACACATGCAATTTGCAGCAACATGGATGGCGCTGGAAGGGATCATGCTCAGCGAAATAAGCCAAAAAGAAAAAGAAAAATACCGGATGGTCTCACTCATAGCAGGAATCTAGAAAACTTAAATAAGGGACCAGGAAAATGAATATAAGAAAGTGAAAATCAAAATCAACAAAAAACTATGAACCAGAGACACTTTTTGGGGGGTGGGGGGCGGGAGGGGAAGGATTGGGGTCAAAATGGGGCGTTTGCAATTGTATGGGGGAATATAAAAATAAAATAAAAAAAAAAAAAAAAAAAAAAAGCTAGGAACTGCCATGGAAGGTATATCTTTACTTTGAGAGGTTACCAGTAACTTTTGGGTTCAGACATCTTATTTTCATCAAACCTGGATCAAGAAAAAAAAAAAAAAAAAATAGCTTTCATATATGATCTTTAGACAGCTGAGAGTAGACTAGAAAAGAATCGCCACTTCCCTTGTAGCAGATGACAGATTTACTTTAATTCGTAGCTTGAAGTGAAATTACTGGAAGCTTTACTATTGTTGATCATTTAGCTTCCAGTCAACCAAACATAAGCAATTTGAAAATACAGAGATATGAGCTGTATCTATATTAAGTTTGTGCAACTGCTATTTGGAGTCAAGGGATGATCTTTAAATTCCTCTCTCATTAAATTTCTTTTTTTTTAAACCATATTTCTTTTTTTTTTTTTTTTAAGATTTATTTATTTATACAAGCACTGGGTACAGTCAGAAGCACGGGAGGGTGAGAGAATTCACCAGAGCCAGAGCGGAGAACAGAACAGGCAGACTGATGAAGTACACTGCTGAGGGGAGCAGTGGGCGGCAGGAGAGGTCTGCGCGCCATGTGGGACCCTCGCCTGGCGGCAGGGGATCGAACCAGCGCTGCAGAGGCTGCGGGCAGCTTCGCAACCCAGCGCTCAACTGCTGCACCACCGGGGAGGCCCTCTCATTAAATTTCTTATTGGTAGATATAACTCACACTTCTAAATTGCTATGCAAATGTGATTTCTCATGCCATTTTTGAATCTAATAGAATAAAAATCAAATATGATATAAAGAAAACAACCTAGGATTCAAAGTTAAATAACTATGATCTTGTTCTATGTCACACACTAACTACTTAAGCAAGAAAAATAAAGCTACAGATCCATGTCTTTTCATCAATGATATGGGTGAAATGAGAATCACCCCCCTTATAAGATGATTTTTATCTCCTAATGTGAAACCATTATATTGACTGGAAAGTGTGAACAAATGTTATCTCCTGTCCCACCTACAAATATCTCAATTGTTGTGAAAGAAATACACATATTTAGAATTACATGCCATCTTACCCATGGTTCTCAAACTGTGTCTAGGTGTACAGAGTTGCTATGGTGGGAAATTATAAATTTTCAAGGGAAAAACAGCAATATCTTTCAGGTAATGGTACAAAATACTAGTTGAAGGAAGCTTTTTTGTATCAGATCATGCTACATTCCTTTTCATGATATATCTTTGTGAAGCTGAGTTTTTGTGATTGCATAAATACAACTACCACCTAAAAATCAATGTAGAATTGGAAATGAGGCTGGCAGTATCTACTAACACTACAAGATATGAGAAGTTGTGCAGTCCTCAACACATGCAACCATACCATACCATTGGCAAGTGATTGTGATTATTTGAAGAAAAGAGAAGTTAAATTTTTCTCAATTTATGTGCATTATTGTTTCAAATGTCTGCTAAGTTATTAGGATACAAAATCTTAGATTATTTAACCATGCGTACTTATTAGTTCAAAACTGTCCAACTTTTCTTTTGGCCTAGGAAATCTGTAAAGAAATTACCAAGACATTAGGATACTGTGAACCCAGAGAATCTTGTAGCCGCCACAATAACCATTTCTTTTCATCTTTATATTAGTTGTAGTTCAAACTATAATTATTCACTCACTAAAGTGAAATTTCACCTCATGTGCCATCATTCAATCTCCAAATTTTCTTCTGTATCCTTGAAGATATCATATAAGAACACTGAAAAGACACTTAAACAGCAATGGGCTGACCTAGGAAGTAACTCCATGAGAGTCTCTGAGTCACCCAGGTAATCAAGCAAGTTTGCCTCTTTATCAGCAAACCTGAGGTGCTCTGGAGAGAAAGAGAGCCTGAGGGGAAGCAGGAAGACTGTGAGGCAGAAAGCTCAGCTTCCTACATATCACACTATATGAAGTTGGAAGAATTGTGGTAGTGAAATAGATCCCTAAATAAATACAAAGTTTTCTTTGAGGTTAATGTTGTCATTTTTTGTTAGGTGGTTTAACAATAAGCCAACCAACATGACCCAAGTAGAAAATCAATATTCTCACTACATTTGCCATTCTGGGAATAGGATCTCAAGCAAGCAGAGTCACAATTCTGATGACTTAAAATAAAACCTATAAAAGTCCAACAGCTGCCTTTTGCAAAAATCAAAAATAAAGAGAAAACCTGATTGGGGTTTATAAACCAAGTCATATCCCAATGTTCTCAAAGCATGAAATTCTCATCAAGGCCTTATTTTGCCCTCAGCTGCAATGCCTTGAGAAAATATTTCTAGCACACACTAGGGGTTCAAAACAGATGTCAAACAGCTAATTTCTACAGAACTGATTAGACACCATTACACTTCAGCCATACATATTATTTTAGTTTGCCAGGTAACCACAATGCACAAACCAGCTCTTTTTTAATCTTAATTTGTGACCAGGAATCACATGTCACACATAATAAGTATTCCCAGCATATAATACATTCAACCTGTAAAGTAAAAATCCCAGACCATATCTGAGCCAAGTTAGATGCTTAGGACACTTCCATAATCTATCTTGGCACTTTATGAATAAAAATATAAAATCAAAGATCTTTAATCTACTAGTGAGGTAATTTACCTTCCTTTTTTTTCTTGGTTAACACAATAGCTTATCAAATTAAAAAACAGGCTTGCCTTTTTAGACTTAAAAAAGTTTCCTAGATTAACTCATTTTTGGATATGAGTTCCTGAAATTTAAAAACTAAATTTCTACAGATATTTAAAATATAATGCTTAATTAAAACTTTGACAACTGCTTTTATAGAATTAATGATCATGCATTAATCTGTGTCTCAAAGTAAGCTTCTAAATTCTGATCTTGCAATTTCATATG